GACTGTTTTTTTTCCTTTCTTTTTACTTTTCTTCTTTCTTTCTTTCTTTCTTTCTTTCTTTCTTTCTTTCTTTCTTTCTTTCTTTCTTTCTTTCTTTCTTTCTTTCCTTCCTTCCTTCCTTCCTTCCTTCCTTCCTTCCTTCCTTCCTTCCTTCCTTCTTTCTTTCTTTCTTTCTTTCTTTCTTTCTTTCTTTCTTTCTTTCTTTCTTTCTTTCTTCTTTTTTTCCAAGACAGGGTCTCATGTCTTGCCCAGGCTGCCCATTTACTTGGTAATGCAGACTGGCCTTGAACTTCTGATTCTCCTGCGTAGGTCTCCCCACTATAAGGTATTATAAGGTATGCACTGCTGCCATGCCTGCCACACATTTCTATGTGTGTATGTGTGTGGTATGTGTGTGGTATGTGTGTGTAGGTTTGCATGGGTAGGCACATGCATGTGTATACGGAAACCTAAAGTTGTGTCGAGGATCAACAAACGAGGCAGCTCTTTCACCTTGGGCTTGACTATAGGGCTTGACTGTAGGGCTGGTGGTTTGCCTTCCAAGGCAGGAATTACAGGCAGACCACCACACCCACCATGCACCACTCTTCCTGCTGGGCCTTAGCTCCTCTGCCACATCCTTTTGGGGTTTTTTTGAACTGAGTCCTGTTTGATACTATAGTTCAGGTTAGAACTTATGACCTGCTCTGCCTCCTGAATTCTTGTTTTCTAGGTATGTATGTACATATGCCAAGCACCACTGTGGCAAGAGTTTGGGGTAGGGGGGAGGGTCTCAGGGAAGAAGTAGGATGGCCATAGACTTTCCTCCAGAGTTGCCCTCAGGATTTCCACGTGCTCTGAGTGTTCCCCAGTGTCTGGGGCTCCATCTTGGCAATATTTGACAGTTTACTCCTTTATAATCCACACACATCTGCAAGGTTCTCTTTCTCTCTCTTGTTCTCTTGCCCGCTGTCTGTATGAGTGTCTGGTTTTTGCGAAAAAGGTAAAAGTAACCGTTAGGGGCTGGGAAGATGGCTCAGCCGTTAAGAGCTTTGGGTGCTCTTCCAGAGGATGGGTTCAATTCCCAGCACCCACATGGCTGCGCACGGCTGTCTGTAACTCCAGTTTCAGGGGAACCAATGCCCCCTTCTGGCCTCTGTGGGCATTGCACACACACACAGTGCACAGACACACATGCAGGCAAAACACCCGTGAGTAATGCATAAAAATAAATTCTGGTCTAATGAAATGTGAGTTTCCTTTAACCTGCCCTAGAGACCTCAATCCGTGAGAGCTTGTGATATAGAAACATGTGAGAATTCAGAGGTTGTAAGTGCCAGGATAAAAAGGAAATGTGAGCATTGGACTGGGGAGACTGTTTGGTCCGTTGTTAAAGAGCTGGCCACACAAGGAGTGAGGACCCAAGTTTCATGCCTAGAACCTGCATGAAGAAGCCAAATGTCACCAGTGATCACACAGGCTTGTGATTCCAGCCCTGGGGAGGTGGAGACAGGCATATCACCAGGCTCGCCGGCTAGCCCAGCCTACTCGTTGAGCTCCAGCTCAGGGAAAGAGGCTGTCTTAAAGATAAAAAAATAAAATAAAATAAAAAGGTAGGTGGTGTCTGAAGAACAGTACCTGAGGCTGACTTCCGGCCTTCCCACTGAGTCCTGTTTGATACTATAGTTCATGTACACCCACTCACATGAACACTCCCCCCCCAAAACAAAACAAAACAAAACAAAACAAAACAAAACAAAACAAAACAAAACAAAACAATATGAACCTATGCCCTCAGTCAGGCGTTCAAGTCCAGGGATGTGTGATGTCATGATGTCTAAGCAGGCCTTCCCCTGTGAGGTACCACCAGTTCGAGCATCGCTCTCTGTCAGGAGTCACGGTGGCTGTGTGAAAATGTGACATATGGACACAGGTCTGCTTGCTGAGGGCTCTGAGCAGACACCTGAGTGGATACTTGGGCTTATTCCTCTTGCTGTCCTTGGTAGGGACAACAAGGCCCCTCCTGTGGGGACCATGCCTCTGTTGGCAGGAGCCGGAGCCTCCTCCTCCCTGATTTTCACCCCAGTCTTCTCCATGGGCCTCACTGGTGACTGGATTTATACCTGGCCGGGCACCAGGAAACAGTGAGTAAGGACCTGCCCCTTGTCACTTCAGTGCTTGAACATTTAGGTATAGAAAGTCACTGTGGCCCCTTCAAGCCTTGAAAATAGCCAGAGTCCCCTAATCTCTCCTCTATGACAAGGGACAAGAACCCTCGAGGCTGAGCTCTGAATATTATAGCAGATGCTATTTGTGTCTCTAGGTTTTTCATGTTGCCTTGGGTTGTGTCCAGTAGCAGGTGCTTCAGGATGTGATGGTCCAAGAAGACGGTAGGAGATCCAGGAAATAAGGCAGGGGTGCAGGAAGCTATCAAAGAGGATTGACTTCGGGCGCAGTCCCATTCTTCCAGTTTGGGGATGATCTAGTGGCTAGGTACCCTTGAGTTAGCCCAGGGGACCCAGGGCTCATCCATTGTATGGTCAAGGATTGGTAAAGGTCTGTCCGGGGGACAGCTCCTGTAGCCCTGTACTGAGGCTGGGGAGGTCCTCAGGGACCAAGAAGAGCACAGACAATGCTCACCATCACTGACAGTTGTGGGTGACTCACAGAGTCCCTTTCGCCACAGTGGGGAGCACTCTGGGGTCCTCAAGGCAGAGAAGCTGTGTCTGTATCATCTCCATTGATTTCTTGTTTTTTCCTCCAGCATCACCACTGACTTCCTCTCCTAGAGCAACTCCGTGTTGTACCTGGGAGAAGGGCCACACACTTCCTTCCTTGAAGGACTCATGGACCTTGTGTTTGCCAACTCCCAGAGGCATAGGTCTGGGAATAGCAAGGGTCAGGCCTCCTTGACCCTAGAGTCTCCTGAGTCTTGATGCCATGTGATCTGGGACAATATTGACTTTACCTATCTGACGGCGTGCTTGACAAACAGAGTTTTGTTCAAGGCCACCTTGGCTCCACCAGTCTGGTGGGCCTGAGCTGGTGACCATGTTCAGGGCAGACAGCTCCGGCTTCTGAGAGTCAGCCTCACCTAGAGATGTGGCCTCTCAGGTGAGTGAAAACACGGGCCGAGGCTTTGGCTTCCTCCCTTGCCAAGAACATGGCGGTGTCCATCTGGGGACCCTCAGCCCAAATGCACTTGGGTTTCTTTAGGGAGTGAGCAAGACCTTCCAGGACATTCCAGAAGCCCTTGACTAGCAAACGTGTGGTGTGATTTCTGGGTGGGCCTGGCTCCTAATTTCTAGATCTTCACTTACTTTTGGATCGATAGAAAAATAAATCCAGAACTTGTTGCAAAAGTGTTGTCCTGAGAGTGCAGGGCTGGGTGGCCTGGTAAGACACCCCATGAACTACAGAGTAGAAGACAATTTCCGTCAGCCCCAGGGGTGCTCCAGCTGCGGGGTGAGAGGTGGCGTGTGGACGCAGGTAAACTTGTGCACCTGGCAGGCTCTGGGTCAGTGTTGTGAATACTACCCTCAAAATCTCCGCTTCCCATCCTAAGGTGTTCTGTGTGCCAATCCTTTCAGTGTGCTGTTATTTGGAACCTTCTAGAAAGGCTGTCCAGGGCGAAAGCTCGTAATGCCATGGAGGAAAGTGTTCAGGACTGGTGAGAGGCGGTCGGTGATGGGCTACAGAAGTTCTCGGTGTGGAAGGGCCTCCTTGCGTCTCTGGCGACTTGTTGGACTGGTTCCTGGTGAGACAACTTGGCTTGGAAGTTCAGGACCTGGTGGCCGGGCACCCTGGTTCCTCCCACAGTGCCCTTGGCTGCAGGTGAGGTCCTGCTTTGAGCGACACAGGGGTGGTATTAGAGGTAGGTGACAGCAAGCCAGCTGTTTCTTCTCCCAAGAAGACCTCAGCTTTGAGGGCCCAGAGTGGTCCATGCAGGGGCACAGGGTCCTCGTGTGTGTGTGTGTGTGTGTGTGCGCGTGCGCGGGTGCGCACACACACATGTGGATGGCAGACGGACATAACTGAGCAGATGCTGTTTTTCTGGAATATTCTGGGCGTGTGTTCCCAGGGCGTCTGCTCTTGGGGGGGGGGGTGCTGGGCCTATTTAAATACTCTCTCTTTGTCTTTCGGAGCAGGGGGCTCTGACCTCATTTCCCAGCAAGGAGCCCTAGGTTTAAGGAAGTAAGTATCTTCCCCACTGTCACTGAGCAAGTCCCAGGCTAATCAGCTGCCGGCCCTGTGGTGGGTGGCTTGGGGGGCTAGAGGGGTTCCTTCCCAGAAACCTCCTGTGGGGCTGGAGTAGGTCCTGCGCAGCCCACCTCCAGTGGCTGCTTTCCCCGGGGGTGGTGGTGTGAAGATTAAACCCACTCCCCCCAGGTGCCAGACCCTTTCTGGGGCGGTTTGTGTTGACCACCCCCGTACAGCCACAAGCTGGAGCTGCCGTGGAGACTCTGCTCACAGCCTGTGTGCTAATTGAGCCATGTCTGGGGTCGTCTCTGGGCTCCGGCCGACTGTTCCCCCTCTCTGTGCCTCTCTCCTCTTTTCAATCGCACAGTCTCCCTGCTGCCCTCCCTGCTGGGCCGGGCCTCCCTGCAAGCCTCGTGGCCCCCGCTCGGTGCGGGCCTGCTGCTGCTGCTGCACAGCCCGCCCAGCCTCGGACCGCGCCGGCCTCCAGAAGTGATAGCTAATTGGGGAGAGAAAGGACCCGATTGTCTGCGGCAGCCGGAAAGGCCCGGAGGAGGCGGCTGCTTCGCCCTGCAGCTGCCGCCGCCGGAGATGTTTGGGGATTACGTCAGCCTGGCGGGCAGGGGCCGCGGGGACAGCGCGGGAGGCGGGCTCCCGCAGGCCTCCCGCCGCCAGGGCCTCTGGACAATGCTGCCATTGTCGGTGCACGGAGCGCTTAGCTCCCCATGAATGGTACACGGGCCTCTTGACCAAGGAGGCCGCCTGTAGCCCCAACTGTCCCCTCACAGGCGGGGAGGCCCTGTGCGCAGTGGGAAGGGCTGGCTGTGGACTGCCGGGGTCTGTCCCTCAGAAGGGGCCACCAGCAGGCAGGCAGGACCCAGCTCAGGGAGGCTCCTGCTGCTCTGCCCTTGTGCGGTGGCCTTCCTCCTCAGCATGGCCTCCTGGCTGGGGGACGCTGCTGGCCCCGACCCACTCATGGTGCTCCTGGTTGTCATCCTGCTGGTGCGCTTTATTCTGTGGTCCTGTCTGGGGACCTATATGGACTATAGACTGGCCCGGCCTCAGCCTGGCAAACCCAAGGAAGAGTAAGCCAGGGGGACCAGTGGAGACCCAACCCAGGAGGGGACTTCATCACCCCTCTGTGGGTGGGCAGGAGGCCGTGGGCTATCTACCTGTCTTTGAGTGCCCTAGATACCTTCTTACAGGACACTGTTACTCTCCCCTGCCATGCCCCTCCACACCTGCCCAAAGAGTCCTCGAGTTTGGGTTAACCTCCCTAACCCTTCACCATCCAGGCAGGTACAAGAGCCTTATGTCCTCCCCATTCTGCCCAAACCAGAGGGCAGTAGAAGAGACAGAGGCTCAGAGAGGCCCAGAAGCTGATCTGACTGGTTAGGACTGTCCCTATCGGCGGGTGTCTGGTCACATGGCTGTCAAGGCAACCATTATCACCAAGTTCTGGGCCCCCATGGCAGAGTGTGCCCCAAGAAATGCCTGGCCCTTCCTTACTTCTCTGTGTAAGAGGCTGGGGTTGTGTGGTGAGGCCATGAGGGTAACCACTACCATTGCTCCCAAGGCCATGCTGTCATGGCTCTCTGCTGTCCTAACCAGCCACTGGATGCAGACAGCTGCCTCAGTCTCTCCGGACAGACCTCAGCGGAGGGTCTCAAGATGGCCTCATGAGATGGAGCTCAAGTCCAGCTCCTTGACTTTGAGACAACTGTTTACCTATTGGAGCCTCAGTTTCCCACCTCGGGAATGAGCCTATGGAACGGGTGATGCGGCTTTCAAGAGACTGTGGGGTTTTGTTGTTTTGTTTGTTTAGACTCACCTGAGCAGCCCTGGTGGCACTGGATGGAGTAAGAAGAGCTCACAGTTCACACACATGTGAATTCATTCACCCGCAGTGCGTGTGAGACGGAATGCGGTGAGAAGACAGCAGACCATGGGTTCTGCCAACCTTCCGTGATGGTGGCAGTGGTCAGCAGTCCCCCGTTTCCCCCTTGAAGCAAACCCTGTAGCAAGGTGCCTATGGGCATTGGAGGCTGCAGTGTGGCAGTTCTGGGACCGGCAGTGACTCACTTCTCCTTTGCCCTCTTTGGCACATGGCTTAGGGCTTCATGGCTGAAGAAGGCTGCAGCCACTCCAGGGACTTTACATGGCTTCCATGTACAAGGAGACAATACAATAAGGATGAAAGGCGGTCCCTTGGGAACCCCGAGTTTTGTGTCTTATAATCATGATGTCACAGAGCCTTAAGCCTTCTGGCTGTTGCTGAAATAAATACTGTGACAAAAGCAACTTAAGGGCTCCATTCACAGTTGAGAAGTCACTGGCAGGAACATGACAGTCAGCAGTGCCCCTCCTGGCCTCTGCCATGGCCTGGGCTGCTGTTTTTAGTTATGGCCTTTTGGGGACTGGTTTGAGTAATCGGTTGTCTCTGTGGTCTCCTTGGGCACTGGCTTTGTCTTTTTCTGAACCTTAGGGTGGTAGATATGTCAGACTTTGGCACCTTCCTTGGCTTTCCTTGGTTCCTTGGGGCTCCTGAAAAAAAAAAAAGTCTCAGTGAGCTGGGTGTGGTGGCACATGCTTGCCATCCTAGCACTTGAAAAGGAGAGGCAGGAAGTTCAGAAGTTCAAGGTCAACCTCAGTTTCATAGTGAGTTCAGGCTAGCTTGGGCTCTATGAGACCTTGTCTCAAAACAAACAAACAAACAAACAAACAAACAAACAAACAAACACAAACAAAACCAGACCTCCCATCCCCTAAAAATAGTCCTATTGAAAAAGTTTGCAGATTAGACAGATACGTCCCTGTCTTAGACACGCATGTGCGAGTGCCCCTCTGCTCATGGCTGGCAGGTCTTGATACAGGCAGTAGCCACACAGAGGGCAGTGAAGGATTGGAAATGGCAGCATGTGCTTTCTCTAAGCCAAGGAGAGAGGCCCCAGGAGAAGCGAGCCTGTTGACACTTCTACCTTGGACTTCCGGCCTCCAGCACATGAGCTAATGAAGCCTGCAGCTTAAGCCTCCGCTCTGTGGTGCTCTGATCTGCCTAACAGATGAACGAATGGAGCCACCAGTCCAACAGGAGCCACCACGTCCTCCCAGAAATCTCCAGGGCTGTGATGCGGGTTCAGCACAGCACTGGGCTACTGGTGGCTTGGGCACAGGAGTCCCAGACAGTGGGCAGAAAGGTCTGGAAACAGAGCGTAGCCCTAGTAGGTGCATGGAGCTATGGACCACTAAAAACGTGGCCAGTGCAACTTTTGATGCCTGGTGAGTGTGACCTCAAAGTGGCTGCCTAAGACTGTCATGTCACAGCCATCAGAAATGGCTTTGTGTGGGCTCTGCTGGAAAATGGTGGCATCCTGGACACACTGAAATAAAATATAAACGTTAATTTTCCTGCTTCTTTTAATGTTACTAGAAAACTTAACAGGATACTGGCCATTTACATATTTGTTTATAACAGACAGTTGTGTTTGGAGAATGGTCTATGGTAGCCATAGTTTCTTTTTGAATGAGCTTCTGAATAAAGAGAGACAGGCAGACAGATGACAGACACACAGAGAAGAGACAGAGACAGTGAGAGAAGAATGGGGGCAAACATCAGATCAGGCTCTGCTGACTTGGGATGTCCCATTAAGACAGCCTGCTGGAGTTCCCTATGGGGAGTCCCCGCACAGCAGATGTCCCCTCAATGGAGACTTTCAGTAAAAGGATGAACAGCCACAGATAGAGATGAAATCATTGTCTTAGTTAGGGTTCTACTGCTATGAAGACACACCATGACCACGGCAATTCTTATATAGGGAAACATTTCACTGGGGCTGGCTTACAGTTTCAGAGGTTAGCCCATTATCATTATGCCAACATGCAAGGCAGACATGTTGCTGGAGAATAGCTGAGAGTTCTACGTTTGGGTCCGCAAGCAGGAGGAGACTGCGTACCACATTGGGCATGGCTTGAGCATATGAGATGTCAAATCCGGCCTGACAGTGACATACTTCCTTCAACTAGGCCACAGCTAATAGTGCCATCCCTATGGACCAAGCATTCAAGCACATGAGTCTGGGGGCCGAACCTATTCAAAACACCACAGTCATCAAACTAGACTCTTACATCATCAGTAGAAATTGGGGAAGTTGAGGCATCAGTTGAAATTCATGATGGAGCTTTCTCTCCTTGGCTGAATTTCCAGCCTCTCCTTCCCACTGCAGGGCTTTTATATTATGGGATAAAGAACAGTAACCTCAGCTGGGAATGGGCACATTCCAGCTGTTCTTAGGGTCACAGGATCTTTACTTTGGGTTCTGGTGTTCATGTCTGTCTCTGTCACAGGTGGGGGGCAGCCCATACCCAGACCTTGGAGGGCACTCTGAGACAAACATGGGTCTGAAACGGGGGAACTTTTCAGTAAGCTCAAACAACACATGACAATTTACTAAGATAATGTACATTACAGACTGTCACAGGGTGGTGACAGTGGTAGGGCCAGGTGCACAGTGTGTCATGGGAATACGGAGGGAGCTCTCAGGTGACAGTGTGCCCCTCCCCCAGCGCACATCAGAACACATGAGGGGCAGACAGTGCAGTTTGTGAAGGAGAGGTCATAGCCTTCCAAGCTTATGATCACAAACAAGAAGGACTGAAGAGCCAGGGTACACACTACAGGTACATGCCCGTAGTGTCAGCACGCAGGACTCAGAGGCAGGAGGATTGATGTGAGTTTGAGGCTAGCCTGATCTACGTGGTGAGTTCCAACCAGGACTACATAGTGAGACTCTGCCTCAAAAATAAAAATAAATAATACATTAAAAAGTGGTTGAGCTGGACACAGTAACACATGCTTTTAATCCTAGCACTTGAGAGAAAGAGGCAAGCAAATCTCTGTGAGTTCAAGGCCAGCCTAGTCTTCATATAGAGAGAGACCCTGTCTCAAAAAAGAAAAAGTGATTGAATGGACAACTATACCCAAATTCCGGACTTAAAAAAAATTAAGACAGAGGTGAAGCCATGCATTTTTAACCCAGAATTCAGGAATCAGAGTCAGGTGGACCTCTATCAGTTTAAGGGCAGTCTGGTCTACATAAAACAAACAAAAACATTATTTAAAAGAACATTTATTTATTATTGTGTGTATGTGTGGGTGAGTGTGCAATTATGTTTGTTTTGTCTATGTGTGTGTGTGTGTGTGTGTGTGTGTGAAAGAACAACTGTGGGAGTCAATTCTCTTCTTCCATTATGTGGGTTTTGGGACTTGAATTCAGATTATGAAGTTTGGCTGAAGTCTCCCTTACCCCGAATCACCTCACTAACCCTGAAATGCCATCTTTTTGAAGAAGAAAATATGCCACAAAGCATGAGACACAGAAAAAGAGCAGGAGTTATGGAGGCTGACTGGATTCCTTATTTCATGGCTTTGCCAAAATATCTAACAAAAGCAACTCAAGGAAGGAAGGAAGTAAAGAAGGGTTATTTGTCTCCTAGTTTGGGGGTACACTCCACCAGGGCAGGGAAGGTGTGGTAGTTGCTCACATTGTGTCTGAAGAGGGGTATCTGAAGCCAACATGAGGGCTGGCACTGAGCTCAGCTCACTTTCTTCTTTTAATGAACTCCAGGAGCCGGGCATAATGGCACATTCCTTTAATACCAACAGTTGATAGACAGAGGTAGGTGGATCTCTGTGAGTTTGAGGCCAGCCTGGTCATCATAGCAAGTTCCAGGACAGCCGTGGTTACATAGAGAGGCTCTATCTTGAAAAAAATAAAAAAGGAGTTCAAGACTCTGCATATGGGATTGTATCGCCACTTCAATTAACTGCATCTAGACAGTCTCTCACAGACTTGGCCAGAGGTTTGCTTCCGTGGTGATTCTAGACTCTTGTCAAATTTACAGTCTAGATTAATTAACATAAGCCTACTCCCTATCAATCTGACACACATCACTTTAAACTATAGCCTTCACCCTGCTGTCTCCATAGGTTTATGAGCCTCTCATAACGCAGAATGCAATAGTCCAACTTCAGATGCCCCCAGCATCTTTAACATATGATTTTTAAACAGTTCCAATATTTCAAAGTGTAAGTACAAACCTTCTTCTGAGACTCAGGCCATGTCTTAATGGTGAGCCTGATAACATCCA